CCTTTAGAATTGTTGCACTTGCATTATAATTACAAAAATCACAGTGTTGTCTTTGTCCCATTTCCAGAAGGTGCGTCCAGAACGCATTCGAAATTTTGCCTACTAGATTTTGCATCTTCCGCAGGCCAATCGACCTCCTCCCAGACCACGCCACTGGAGTCGTCCGCGCAGCTTGTGTACTGCACAACTACCTACAAGACGACAAGTTGCACATGCTAAATGCCAATGCTGATTGAAGTTGACCACTTCGGCAACATCGTTGATGGCCAGTGGCGCAAGGAGGTCTCTCAACAGACAAACGCGTTGCTCCACCTACCGAGGCTGAGATCGCGGCACGTCGACCAATCTGTCCGAAAATGCAACATAGTGGCCACCGCAGTGAGAGACCTGTACCGCAGGTACTTGATAAAGGAAGCTGCAGTGTCATGGCAAAGGAACCGCGCTGGACTGAAATCCAAAGTAGTGTCAGCGGTATGGTGACAAACCACTAAGTTTTCAAGTTTTTGTGTGTGAGGATCGTCTGACCTATTTCCGGTGGAACAGGGAGCTGAGGCCACCATTACAACAATATTCTGCCGCTGCGAGTTCGCTACTTTTGAACGGGTGCTCTGGTGAGAGACGGCTTCCGTGTGAGGCCCACTAGGACTTTGAACAGAGAAAGTGAAACATTTGTATTGTACCAAGACCGGTGCTACTGGAGGGGGATGAAATTAGGGACTCTCCCTGTTCATGTACGCTATTAATGTGCTTAACTAGGGGTGGACGTAATTTATACTCTGCCGCCCTTGGAGGAGTGACACAGTCCTCTGAGATCCTTGGTTGGATAAGTGGGACGAGTGTTTTCAGTGCACGTTCTGCAAGATCCTGAGCTAGACGCAGTCCTTAAAGGAGCTGTGCAACGATATTCAGTTGGAATGTTTTTCACTATACACGAGCTTACTGGCACTAGTGGGACTCAAGGATACTCGCAGCAACGTCACTGGTCAAGAAACTCCTTTGTTGCGGCGAAATTTCAAGGACAAAAGCAATTATTTTCGTTCAATCTCTCCTTTGCAAAATTTGATGACGTAACGTGGGGATCGCAGAACACCCAAGTGACAATATTTGAATGCGGTTCATAGATTGGACCCGAGCCCTGCGTGAGCGCTCGATTTGGGCTCGTGATAATTACTAGCTCGAGAAGCATTCGGGTAGTCGCCCGCGTCCAATCGCTGCAACGACGACAATAGCCGAGCCATAACAATGTCTGGAACTCAGCGCGTGTCCTGTGCTTTGCCAACCCCAGCGCGTGGCTATGATCAACATTGGCGGCATATAATCGGCTCCAGATCGCGTGGCAACTTATTCTGGCTGCGAGTTGAGGGGGTGAACGCTGCTCGTTTTTCTTAAATTTTTTCTGGGACTTCTATTGCGTGGGGTGAAGAACGAACGCGTGTTTCATAGGTCATTAACGTTAGGGATTCGTTTTAAGCGGTATTTGCGCAAAGTACAAAAATTGTTGCATTGCTCCTTTAAAGGGAAGCCGGAACACTTCTTTAAAAAAAAATGACATAGAGCTTGATTCTAGCGTAGTTTTATCCCGTGGATATGAATATCGCGTTCGTTTTCCCCGAAGATGTAACTTAACGCGAGAAAACACGAAAAACACCCGACCCGTCGTGGCGTCATAAGAGGGCCTTTCGGCCGCAAAGCTCGTGTCACTCGAGGGCCGCGCATGCAATCCCTAGCTCGCCAGGTGTATTCCCCCGTACTGGCACAAGTGTTGACATCTTTTTATGCCTTTCTTCAAAAATAAAATAGCAAGAGTACGCGTGCATAGCTTTGGTGGACGCTGCTGGAAGGAAGATTCCGAAAACTCCTTTTATGGCGACACGCTCCTGGAAGGAGGGCCTTCGGTGGTACTCTGAAAATGATTTTCTGCAACCTCCATGCCCCAAATTATAAAAGAAATAATTTCGATATTCGAGATCCTGGAGGTGAAATGAAGACGACTTAAGTGTGTTTCCTCAAATACAAAACCGCTTCAGCTTCCTCTTAACTTGGTGTGTGAGAGTTATTTGACTAGTCTCCGGAAGTATGTGCATTTAGGTGGTTCAGGTAGATCTGCAACGTGCTGGAGGTAGTGTAGTGTTGAGAGGGAGTGTGTTTGTACACGCCGAAGAAGCGTAGCATCTGCCCTCTCTGGAGTGTGGAGTGGGCTGTAGGGGGTTATGTGGTTACGACGAAACTATAACAGAAGGCACGGCGAGTTTCCTTCTCGTCGTGCCTTGCGTTGTAGCTTCCGGGTCACGTAGGGGTCGATTTCGTCTGGACATTGACAAGGGGTACTCGGATCGTCGGTGGCGTGCGTAGATGAGTGGGCGGCCTTGCAACAACGGCGCACAATGCGAATATTTGCCTTTTGGCGCCGGTGCACCCCATGACGCCAGCAACGTGTTCTGTTCCTCTTTATTCATATTTGATGTCTGCCAAAAAGGTGAGCCTGTACTTGATTTTTTTTTTCTTTTGTAATTGCATCTTTTTTGTCTTTTGTTAGTTGTTATCTTTCAACATTTAAAGCCAGCAATAAAAAAATGATTTCTGAATCACCCCTGCATCATGTCATCTGTCTAGTTCATTTCCACCCCAGACCTGTTGCCTGCAAATCAGTCAATTATTTTGTAGAAAATGGGTTGTGGTCTTTGCCCTTTTTACGGACAAACTGGCGGACACTTTTTGTGGCAGGTATAGCCCAAAGTAGATCGACAGAGTACTGGCTGATTCCCCACAGGGTAAGGTGCTATTTTACTGTTTTCGTTGGACCTACGCTGCGCAATCGGGTCTTTACAAAACACAGAATTCGTTTATCGGCCGACTTTTATGAAATGAACGACACGCTGGACGTGCAAAACACATTCTGTACTTCCTCAGTGTAGGTCAGCATGAACAAGCTAACGTAAATATTAAGCTTTTTTTTTAATTCAAAACAATATTAGCGATTGCGAACATGACAAAAACACTGAAGATAAAGGAAACGACATAAATGAAAAAACACAGGTATTCAGATGCAAAAAAGCCAAAGCAATCATGTTGGTGAAATAATCGCAAACTATGCACGAAACCAAATTGTCACAGGATTTCCATGACAAATGTCACGCGTGGCACGTGTGACATTTGCGTAGGGGAGTCATTGAATAGTAGAAAGACCCTTTCTTGAAATTTGTTTGCAGATCTGACACGAAGGTCTGTCCAGAAACCGATAATCGCTGATCGGCACCTTGTAATTAAAGCCATTTTACACGTGTGTCACTCGCGTAGCACGCGTCCGGCGCGTTTACATATCAATAGTTGTTGGCACTTCGTAAAAATGTCAAGCTCGATTTTTATCAAATGGCTTTAATAACAAGGTGCTGTTCAGCGATTCTCGGTTTCTGGACAGACCTTCGTGTCAGATCTGCAAACAAATTTCAAGAAAGGGTCTTTCTACTATTCAACGAGTCCCTTACGCAAAGTGATCGAACAGAAGCGTCAATTGTTATCGCGTGCAATTTTACGAAGGAAGCTACCACAACCCTCGCCAGGTACGGAAACGCCAGTTCGTTTTAATACCGAACTGAAGCTTACATCCCCCGGCGAAAAATATTCACTTGGAAGAAGCACATCCGCCGCCCCACCCCCACAGCGAATTTGGAAGACGACGACGTAGGTGACGCACTTTTCGTATTTTTCATTCTCACGTTGCTATGACCACCGTGACGTCTTTCACGAGCCGCGTTTGATTGGCTGTCCGTCCCCTTCGCAAGAGCGGCCGTTCGCAAGGAAAGTTTGGCAAAATACGGAGTTGCGAATTAGTCGAATTCGCACCGCAACTGCGTTGTGCCGCAGGAACGGCGTCGCAATTGCGAAATCGCAGGCAAATTCGCACCATGTGAATCAGGCATGACACTTCTGAAGTAAAGAACAGACCCGTTCTCGCCTGCGTGTCTTAGTTGTTGCGTAAAAAAAAAAAAGATAAATATTGGCATTTCGGGCACCCAACAACTCACTCGCTGACTTCAGGGTCACACCTGGTTGCACTCCTAGTGACGTCATTCGGAGCGCCGTGTAGGTTCCCGTGTGCTCTCTCGGATGACGCTTCCTCTCCCTCTCTCTGCTGACATTAGCGGGCGTTATGCTGCAGCTTAGATCGGAGCCAGGTCACGTAATCTTCTCGCCGTAGTTCCTTCGGCTGCCACTTGGGGCTTCAGGTGTGGTAAAAAGCTCGACTTTTGCTTTGCGATTACGCAGCGGAATCGCGACATCTTTTTAATGAAGGTGATGTTTTCTCTATCTTCCGGGATACAACAAACAACGTAAAAATGACGAGATGCAAATTATTTTAATCATAAAATCGTTGCAGCCCCCCTTTAAAACGACATTTCGTAGCGTTTGCATTACATCGTACCCTAAACAAGCGAAAGTCTACCCGAAACTGAAACCAAAGGTGGGAAATTCTGCTGTGACTTTCTTCAACAAAGCGCAACGGTACTACGTTCAGGGCTAAGTAATCTCTATGTGTGAGCGTACTTCGCATTCTTGCGTGGCTTTTAATGACTTGATATCACGACATTTTACCGAAGCTCCACAGACATTCACCAGGTGGTTTTTGATCATCGTTTAATTCACTTTAAAATATGTTCCTTGAGCTTTCCTACGAATTATCGGGATGGGGGAAATCCTACTTTAAACCGCTACATGTTGAAGCGAAGAGATGAACTCCGAAATGTGTTTTCCTTCCCCTGTAAGGATTTCTGCAGACGCTTAGCTAGTTTTTAATTGGAACCATATGTTTATTTTAACTCATTCAAAAAAGTTAATTCTTAACTTTTAGATTATAAATTTGCTGATTCGATTCTTTTTTTTAGTCCTTGTCCGATGTAATTGGCAGTTATCGTTCAGATTTTTTTTTTTCTTAACTACTTTGTAGAAAATTTTGAAAGTATATGCGCGGAAACAGCCGGTGTAGTAGCGCACACACTTACCCTTGTGGAGAGTAGAAGCTGGGAATGACCAAAAAAGTGGCGAGAATAGCGCACACAAGCAAGCATTTTAGAAGCTTTCGTGGACGCTGCCGTGCTGTAGCTATCATTTGAAACACCTGACTGACCGCAAGAAGTTCATCCTTTCATTGCGGCGGCACGACTCGAGAACCCGGCGAGCGAATCTCTTTTCGACGACTCAACAATCGGGGGAAAGAGTCGCCACGAGGCTATTGTTATCCGCCACATGGCACGCCTTTTTCCTTCCCTCACTCATTTCCCAGGCGGAACTCGTTATCGCAATAAATTCTTGTGTTTTTTTTATTCTTTTGTTTGTTTTTTGTTTGGCAGCATGACGCTATGTAATGGGTGTGTTCCTATGACGGCAGTCATAGGGAGCAACGCCTGTTATTTCTACTCAATAAAAAGAAGAGTAACAAATATTTGCGAAACACAATTGCTCTGCGTTCTTACGACTGACTTCCTTGCTCTTTATAAGGTCAAATAGACTGAATTTTTCTTGACTTTGCAGGCATTCGACCAAATGTCACATCATACTTCGTAAACAACATTTATACGTAATATCGATCCTGTAACGTGTTCAATTGGCTGGTAGCATTCTTGAACATATCGTTCGTAATTACTAACTCCACTCCCACATTTTTTTTTTTTTTTTTTCAGAGCACCTCGAGGGTTTTAACTTTTCTCATTTATTTTATTGACCTCCCCAGTATGGCTTCCTCCTCGATGATTTAGTTGCTGACGACTGTATTATTTACCGAATACCATTAATGACTTACATTGCTGACAGTCGCAGTGTGATTTGGATTATATGTTTCGATGGTGCAATCTCTGATCAACGGAACTATATTTGCACAATTTTTTTCACGTTGTGCGAGAAGTATACTTATCTTTCGGGCGGCAAAGTTAACCTAAAAAATACTCAGAAGAGGAAGAAAGAAAAAAAAAATAACGGGTGAAAGCAAATTCGCCGATTTGTTTATTGGCGTTTAATCGAGGCACTAATCTAACTCAAATGTGTTTAGCACTACTGCGATAACAGTATTTTTGAAGACGGCCCCTGGGGTGAAGCTAATACAGATGTACCATCGGAAACAATATGATCGTGAACGCGCCTCCACGGCGACACGCGGAGACGCGTTCACGCCATATTGTTTCCGATAGTACAACAGAATCGGAGGTTCGCACGTATCGAACATTTGAACTTTTATGTTTGTAATATATAATTCAAGAAGACAAGCAAATCAATTTTTAACTCGCTACTCGTAAAAAGCGCCAAATAGCTTTATGGTATCTGCATTTATTTTCCTAGAAAATGAGCCTCAACTTGAGCAAAGTAACTGCGATTAACTTCAGAAGACAGAAAGTGCGACACAATCGGTGACTTGCAATTGTACTAAGATATTATATGTTTGTGCAAGAATGAGATTAAAAAAAAATAAAGTGTACACTTTTTTTAATCCTGCTTTGTCGAGTACATTAGGAAACAATTTCAAAACGTTTCGCGACGCCGTCAGGCCACAGAGGATCAGATTCCCTGCAGGGTGGCGACGTAGATTCAAAGGCGTGGCTACTCCGAGTCATTTTGCAGCACCTTTTGGAGCGGCTCGAAATCCTTTGAAGCCACGAGCATATCCTTAATTCATACTCGTTCATCGCCCTGCGAACACTGACTCACGAGTTGGCATGTGCGCCTTTTCCGCCTTTCCACTTTTGTGCCACCCCTCCTTCGAAAAATTCCGGGAGACCTCGTGGCGGGGGCGGCGGGGGTTGGGGGGGGGGGGGGGGGGGGGGGTATTGTAGGGCTGTTTGGATGCACGCTCGGGTGCCGACTCGAATTGAATTATAGCAGAGGTCTTATTATGAAGGTCTATAAGACCTTTCCAATAATCGACTTCTGCGTGCTGCCATCTTCGTAAACTGGGCTGTGGAAGATGACTCAGCATTTTTCGCCTGAGTGATAAGCGCTAGACAGGCGCTATATCCTGGAAGTTGCACGATTCATTCTGTCTTATCATTAGGAGCTCAGAACGCTCAATTAAAGGGATCACAAAAGGAAGTCATCGCATACTCTGCTTTGCTATTCTACTTTGCTTTCCTACTGCCTTTTCTACTTTCTGAAATCGCAATCGCAGAGTGTAAAAGTGACGTTAAGTTCGCCTTCGATTGCAGGGACGTGAGGTTATCACGTTCCGTACATCGGAACGTTACACTTAGTGCCACAAAATAAGCTACTAGTTACACTGCGTCAATCAGACTGTGGAGGCGATTTTTCCCGGAAAGATCTATATTGCGCGTAGTCAACATCGTATTTCCTTCAATAAACATCTTTTCTATTTCCCTTCAATTTAATTACCTCGAACATTCAATTAGTTTAGTTCTGCCTAAAACCACAAGACACAGCAACAAGGTCGTGACATGATTCATTAGTTTTCTGACAGCCCCCCCCCCCCCACCCCCATACACACACACGCGCGCATATAGTTTTCTTTTTCTTTTATTAGACGATTTAATATGATCTCTAAAAACTACACACCGTTCCTTTTTTCTTTTTTTCTATTGCGACAGAGCACGTATGTCTTAATAAAAAGAAAAAAAACTAGAAATGGAAACTCATTTGTTTGAAACCGAAACACGAGCGCGGAAGCTTACTTCTAGAAGTTACGTAAATACACCCAACCGTGCTTTTTTTTTTTTTTTTTTTTTTTTTTTTTTATGCGTGTGCTGCTTGCCGTGCGATTGTTTCGCACTTCTATCCCTTCCGCTCGACGTTCTGCGTTCGAAGATCGATTGTCCGATACCACGAACGACAGATGTGAGGCAGCGTCCCCACGTCCGCTGCAACGTCGGTCCGTCTTGCGCCGCCATGGCGTCGTCCAGCCCGCCCTACGACGCCATATTGAGAATGGCGTGGATAATGTACTTCCTCTCATCTGCGCAACACTTTTTTTTTTTTTTTTTTTTTTTTGAATCTACGCATTTGCAGCTTTTTGGAAGCAACAAAAAATGGGGTTCATGGGGAAAGAGGGTGACCGTGACTGCAACCGGCCAATTCTCGACCTGCTGTTTTCGGACGGAACGATAACTAATTTCGAGTCGCAAATTGTGTCCTGGGTAGTTAGCTCTTAGAGGTCATGTTCAAATAAAACCCTTGGCGAACATAAATACCCTGTCAGTGTTCCTTTAAGGACGCTCATTGGAACAGTTGCATTTTCAACATGTGATGACTAATCACGGACATGAACACGCGTGAATGCCAATTTTAAGTATAGAATCGAATAAACTAGTGTTCAACTGAAATAATGTTAGAAAAAAACAAACATTGAGTACCTAATTGAATGTTTTATTTAAGTTCTGGAAGGTATTTTTGGCATATTCATATAGAGTGTTATCACAATACAAAAACAATATGTGCACAGTAAATTGACCAACTTAAAAAAAATACAGGTTGGGCTCGCTAACGAAGTTGATAAGAAGAGTGACAAATGCCTGAAATATTTTATTAGACGTCTCTTGGAGAGTATATGCAAAAAAAGATTAAGCTATTTAGATTTTTTTTAAGGGAAACAGAGGTGTCTATGAATGTTGACATTGGTTTGGTGGGTTATGGAAATCATGAAGCGATTATTTTGCTTGCAGGCAAAGCAAACAACACATTGCATTTTAGAGCATTTTATGCTCGCTTTTGTCTCGCAGTTCTTGTTTCTGTATCGCACAGCGTTCCAAAGTTTGGCACATTCCGGAAAATGACCGAAGTCATCTTTGCGGGTGTGCAGGTTCGGCACTTCGATTGGACTTGCTTTACCTGCCTGTGGAATAATTTTAGTATTTCCCTGTGGTTCTGACTGGCATCTGTTCGCATTTGCTGGGGGCTCGAGAAGAAAAAGCTATTTGCACCGGTCACAACTTTTGTCCAGAGAGTGCACACTAAATTCGAAGGATTCTTATTTTTGTCACAAACTGTGGCACCGGCCGACTCTCCCACCACCTTTTTCTTTGCGCCTTCGTGCTGCTCGCCGACGCCATGGAGAGGGACGGCTTGTTGGGTCGTCAAGGGGACAGGACGTTCGTGGTTGCGGGGTGAAGCCGGCGAGAATGGCGGCCCGGCAATAAGATACTTTCTGAGGCTTCTGGATCGTCGCCGCCGCCGTCTCCTGCTAGCTCACCACCGCCGAGAGCCCGATGATGCCCTTTCGACACCAAATATGAGTGAGGCCCGCCTGTTCGAACTTTTTGTGGACGTTTTATTTGATCTTTGTCCGTAGCTTTGTTCTTTTATTTCATTAACGTTAGTATTGCTGATGCGCGCCACCTGTTCGGACTTTCTAATTATTATGTAGGTTGTTTTACAACCGTGAAGTTGGTGTGGCGCGACAACCATTTTCCTTTCTTTGTTCTTTCGTTTTCAATATTGAGTGGAGATCCGTGTAGAACCTTGCTTTTTTGTTGTGTAGTCTTTGCCTGTGCGCCATACCTCAATATCTATAGGTCTATTTTTTTGTTTCTATATAAATATACCTTTTTTTTTTTTTTTACTATGCCTGAGCTCATTGCGTTGTAGGGCCGGCGGGTGTACCGTTAAGCGCGATCCAAACCAACGCTTCTTTTTGCGCCTGTAGGTCGTGCGGCTGCGGATGTGACGTATTTTCGTGACGTCGCGCCGCTTCTTCGCTCCTTCCGGGCGCGCATAAAAAAGTTGGTTGATTTCAACTTCTTTCTCAACGCGCACAAAACGCGCGGTGACGTAGTAGGGCGCTCCTGTGTCCCGGCCAATCGGTGGAGGGCAAGCTAGTTCCGGCTCCGCGTTTCTCGCCGTCTGGCTGCCCTCTCCTCCCCCCTTTTATTCTCTTCCAACATGACAACGCGATCTCTCTCTCTCTTTCTCTCGCCGTCTCGCCGGCAAGTCTGTCGCAGTTGCACTTTGCTTGTGCGCGCGTGCCTGCGTGCGCGCGTGCGCGCTCGCCCGAAGTTTCGCCCGTCCAAACCAAAGCGCACGGTTCTGACTCAGAAAGCGCGCCCGGAAACAGCAAAAACGCCACGAAATGCGCCACATCCGCAGCCGCACGACCTACAGGCGCAAAAAGAAGCGTTGGTTTGGATCGCGCTTTAAAGGGGTCATGAAACGCTTTTCCAACTTTTTCCTGTTTCGCTCT